GTATGTTGCTAGCCCTGGTATTCTCATCTACTTTTCTCTCTTGGTTCCCACATCCATCAAGTTAGTTGAAAGCAGCCATAACAACACGAGCAAAGTGTCCATCCCAGCTCTGTTCAGGCGCAAGCTGTCCAGCTTTCATGAAACTTGATTTTTTATATTCACTCATGGGACATGGGCATCGCTGACTGGCCGGCATTTATTGCCCATCCCTAGTTGCCTTTGAGAAGGTCGTGAGCTGCCTTCTTGAGCCACCGTAGCCCATGTGCTGAAGGTTGACCCCCATTGCCCTATGCGAGTGAATTCCAGAATTTTGACCCAGCCACAGTGAAGGAATAGAGATAATTTCAAAATCATAATGATGAATGGCTTGGAATGAAAATTATAGGTGGTGGTGCTTCTATATACCTGCTGCCCTTGCCCTCATAGATGGAAGTGGTTGTAAATTTGGAAGGTGGTATCTAAGGATCTTTGGTGAATTTCTGCAGTACATTTTGGAAGACTCTGCTGCTGAGTGTTGGTCGTAGAGGGAGTGGGTGCTTGAGGATGTGGTACCAATCAAGCAGGCTGGTTTTTCCTGGATGGTGTCAAGCTTCTTCAATGTTGTTGAGGTTGCATATATCCAAGCAAGTGGGGAGTGTTCCATCACACTCCTGACCTGTGCCTTGTTGATGGTGAACAGACTTTGGGGCGTCAGGATGTGAGTAAATCACTGCATTTTATTAACCTCGAAGATGGTGCTGCAGCTACTGTGTTTATGTGGTGAGTCCAGTTGAGTTTCGGGTGAATAGTAACCCCGAGGATGTTGACAGTGCAGGATTCATGGATGTCAACACCATTAAATGTCAAAGTGCGGTGGTTAGATGGTCTCTTATTGGAGATGGTCATTACCTGGCATTTGTGTCAATGTTATTTGCCACTTGTCAGCCCAAGCTTGGATATTGTCCGGATCTTGTTGCATTTAAGCATGGACCGCATTTAGTATCTGGGGATCATGAATGGTGCTGAACATTGCACAATCATCAGCAGACATCCCATTTCTGACCTCACGGTGGAGGGAATATCATTGACGAAACAGCTGAAGGTGGTCGGGTCTAGGACACTACCCTGAGGAATTCCTGCAGAAGGGTCCTGGAGCTGAGGTGACTGACTTCCAAAAACTACAATTATCTTCCTAAATGCCAGGTATGACTCCAAATAGTGGAGAGTTTGTCCCCTGCTATCTGATGATTCTAGTTTTGCTATGGTTCCTCGATGCCACATTTGATCAAATGTGGCTTTGAATGTGGCTTTGATGTCAAAGGCTGCCATTCTCACCTCACCTCTGGAATTCAGCTCTTTTGTCCATGTTTGAACCAAGGCTGTAATGATGTAAGGAGCTAAATGGCCCTGGTGGAACCCAGACTGGGTGTCACTGTGCAGGTTGTTGCTGAGCAGGTGCTGCTTGATGGCACTGTTGATGGTTCCATTCATTGATGGTTGAGAGTAGACTCATAGGCAGTAATTGGCTGGGTTGGATTTGTCTGTAGGACATACCTAGGCAATTTTCCACATTGTCAGATAGACAATGTACTGAAAGAGCTTGTCTAGGGGAGCTGTACGCTCTGAAGCACAAGTCTTCTGTACTATTGCTGGAATGTTGTCAGTGCCATTAGCCTTTGCAATATCCAGTGTATTCAACTGTTGGTTGATATCATAAGGAGTGAATCGATTTGGCTGTGATGCTGGAGACCACTGGAGGAGGCCAAAATAGATCATTCACTCAGCACTTCTGGCTGAAGATCACTGCAAATGCTTTGGCCTTATCTTTTGCAACGATGCTTTGGGTTGTTCCATCATTGAGTGTGGGGTTATTTATACAACCTCCTCCTCCTCCAATGTAATAAGCTGAATGAATTAACAGCACAAATAGTCGTAAATGGATCTGATATGATTGTGATTGTGGAGACATGGCTGTAGGATGACCATGGGTTAGAACTGAATATCCAAGGATATGCTATATATAGGTAGAACAGACAAAACAAAAAGGGAGGTGGGGTAGGTTCAACTAGACTTGATTCTTGGATGGCAGGTTTGTTGTAGAAGTGTGGGTTGGCAAGGCCTGTATTCACAAAAATTTGAAGAATGACAGGGGATTTCATTGAAATGTGTAAAATTCTGCCAGGACTGAACAGACTAGATGCAAAGGATGGCTTTCCCCTTGGCTTGGGGAGTCTAGAAAAGGGATCATGGTTTCAGCATTTAGGGTTGAGATGAAGAGGTTTCTTCACTTCCACGGAGATGAACCTGTAGAATTCTCTACCTCATAAGGTGGTGGAGGCCAAGTCACTCAATATATTTAAGAAAGAAATAGATTTCTAGACAGCTAAGGTGTTAAGTGGCATGGAGAAAGAGTGGGAATGTTGTGCTGAGCTAGAGGATCAGCCATGGTCATAGTGCATGGCTAAGCAGGTTCGAATGACTATGCTTCTATTTTCTATGTCAGGCAATCTTCTGCTCTTTTCATATTATATCTTGAAACGCAAAAGCAAAAGCAAATGAGGACTCTCTTTTACATTCCCTCCAAAGGGCAATGGTGAAATGTCAACTTCAATTATTTGCTGAAAACTCCAGTATGGGATGTCAAGTCATAAACCCTTGATGGAGAAGTGACAGAAAATCAAACTGAAATGACAATGTCGATGCATGGTTCTCTTGTCGTTAGAGGATAATTCTGACAGTTATAGTGAAAGAATAAAATCATTGACTGCAGCAAACTTACATTTTCGGGGTCATTCCAACAGCAATTTGATAAATAGCAAAATATTTTTGCACAAATGATAATAAATAGGTGAGTGATGCTTAAAAACTATTGCTTTCCAACTGAGAAGCATTCTTCTCTGATGCATCCATTAAACATAAACATGCCTTTTTCATATTAGAGAAGGTCAATGTAGACCTGTAAGCATTAAGTATTTCTTTGAAAGCCTTAGCTGCTTGGATTGAAGGGAGGGACCGATCAAAAGCTAAAATGACAAAATTATGCATTTAAATTATTTTAAACAATGAATTCCTAAAAATCTTAAGACAACTTTCAAAAACAAGTAAATTTGCATAAAATTGTGCTGCCAGTCAAAATTAGAGCACAAGAAAAGCCAGGATGTGATAAAGTCTAAAGAACAGTCTTATTCAACAGAAGACATTAACTCTACTTCTCTTTCCAGACAGGCTGCTAGACATGTTACTCACAACATGTGGGCCACGAGGCTCAGGTTCAAATCATATCTGCGGCAGGTGTGTCATAACATGTCAGAACAGGTTAATTAGAAAATATCTATATGTGAAAAAGCCAGTCAGTTCATCCATCCTTATCTGTGCACTGACTGACCTTTTCACTTACAGATATTTTCTAATTAACCTGTTTAGACATGTTATGCCTTTTTGGTGACTGACAATCTTGCACAGAAAGAAGTGTGCTCCACATTTTTGAGGAGATTCTGTTCAGGGTTCACTCAGAAATGCAGAACTGTATTTCTATTTTGACAGTTCTCTCAAAGCATACAGCTGTAAGAGGAAGGCAAACCATGACCCCTTTTCAAACAGTCAGCTGTTGAAATTTAAAGGTCCAGACAGCCTTTTTGACAGCTGCTGTCAAAGGGTATGTACACGAGTTAGGTGTCATGCTAGGGTGCTGGAAGCCAGATGGGTAAGGGGTTAACGTGTCAGCTAAGCCAGTAGGGTGCCAGCTAAGTAGGATGCCAGGTGGGTATGGTGTCAACTGGGTAGCTGCCAGCAAGGGAGGGGGGCATAGGGTGACAGCTGGAAAGGGAGCAAGGGTGTAAGAGAGCAGTTATTTTTTAGGGAGCTTGGGTGGTCCGGAGAAATCAAGTTCGGTGGTGTGTTGGGAAGGCATGTGCTGGGTCTGGGGAGCTCAGATCTGGCAGAGTATGAGCTGCTGATTGAGTTGGGGAAGGGAAGGTTGAGTCGAATCTGGTACAGCATGCAATGGGGAATAGATGGTTGGGTCAGGGCAGGGTGTTAGGTAGTGTTCCCTCTAATTTTCTTTGCAGCTGCATGGCTCCCAAAGTCCATGTGCAGCAGTGGCTTCTGGAACAGGGAGTTAATGCTGCAATTGGGATGCCAACACCAATTGCCATGTGGCTGCACGTGCAGTTTAGAAAGTCACTGTCAGATCAGGACCAGGTCTGATGGCAGTTGGGTGGAGGGGATTGAGTTTGGCGGCAGTGGGTGTGCATGCGGGGTTAGTGTCCGAAGGTGGTCCTGGACAGTTCGATCCAGCGACAAGGAGGGCCTTCATGTGGGTTGAGATGGGATTGGTGGGTCCTGGTTGATGTTGGGTCAGTATCTTGGGGCTGTGGGTAAGGAAAGTATGGGTTCTGCTTAACAGTTACTCAGGAGCAAGATTATTTAATAATCTGACTTTTCCTGCGTAACTTTTATTTAACTTCATCAGAGCTATCTAAAAGTCTCCCGAGTTTTATGGAGTCTTTCGTAACGTTCCAGGCATAGTGGAATTGCCCTGTGGAAAGTTTAATTTCTTTGGTAAATGCTCTGGAGTGTACTATGATGAGAATTCTGCTGGATCCCTTTGCACAAATCATACATACATTTGTGCAACAACTGTCTGGCCAGCACAAAATCTACTTTTTTTTTCCAGTTTTGGGGAACCTTGCTGAAATGTTTTACTTTTAAGTATTCCAAGTTGAGACAACTTCATCTGGCATTAAACAAATATTTCAGCATTCACAGAATGCAACCCTTTACATTAAAAAAAGGGTCTGGTACAGTTTCCTAACTTTCACCATTTAACAACAAAATATTAATTGCATGTGCTGCTTAAAATAAACCCCATCATGTTATATAACATACAAATTATCCAAATCCATGAAAAGTGCTTTTTTTAAGCAATCAACCTACAAAAAGCACTGATAATATATAGTTACCACATAATTATCTCCTGAACTCAAAACTAATTCAAATGGACAAATTTTCAATTTGCCTACCAGTATCTTTTGAGGTAAGTTTTCGTCTTGCTTTTAAGACTGGTTGCGATGCTTCCACTGAACCGGGAGGGAACGTAATTTCCCGCCTCATAGGGGGTTGCTGTTGTTGTGGAGCAACAACCTGCGAGGCTGGAACTGGAGGGCCAACCTTCTGCATCTTCATGGATGACATATATGGAGACTTGTTGGGAGACATTCGGTTTTCTAAAGATCGCTGAAAGGGAGCTGGACTTGGAGCTCTGGAAATGTGGTTTGGCATTGAAGTCGTCTGATAGGAGGACTGAGAAGGTCGTGAGATAGACGGCATGGAAGCTGAAGACATGTATGAAGGCTGACGCTGGTTCACATGAGAAGGCCATTGACCTTCATGGTTCATTCTCTGGTCAGGTAATATCATTTCATCAGTGCGATTCATCCCTGCATATGGCGATGCCGGCGGAGGTGCTCCGGGGCCTTGCCTGTTTGGGTATGGGTAAGGCGTGATTGCCGTATCAGTCCGTGATTGCCACACGCCCTGCTGTGGCCCTTCGGTGGAGGATACTTGCATTGGTCCTCCCATCATTTGTGGTGGTATTCCATGTTGCTGCACTGGGCCTGGACCTGGACCCTGCATCCTCTCTCTATTGTATGTCAACGGATACTGGTTTTGCATGGATCTCCTGTCTGGTCCAGAGTAAGTGTTTCCATATTGGTTGTACATTTCCTGCTGTTGGTTGCCATACTGCATGTTGAACATGTCACTCTCATGGCGCTTTGGTGGGGGACCATACATGCCTTCCATGGGTCGTTTATAATTCTGTGTGTTAAAACAGAAACAATGATAAGTACATATGGAAAGGCACTTTTTTTAAAAAATAGAAAACACAACTATCTTAAGGAATCATGATCATTTTATTCATTAATGGCAACTTGATTTATCGGCACCCTATTATCAGCTAAGAACAGAAGCTAAATAATGACCAAGATGCACATTCAGAAAAAGTATACTGAAGTATCATAGAAATAGGAAGACTGAAGCTCAAAGAAAACTTTGCTTTACAGGCTACTGTTTAATTTAATAAGAAGTACGTTTCAGGGTTTAAAAGCTCATCAAACTAAATTGCCCATCTTCAAAAATTGCAACATTGAATTTCTTGAAGATTTCGCACTCTGTAGCCAAACTAGATGAGCATATTATAAACTAAAAAGAAACATGACTGCAATGATTTTTAACACCTGTCATCATTTAAATTAATACCAAAAACTTAAATGAGAATGAAAGTTTACTGGAAGCTTGTTTTGTCAAAAGAACCATATCCCATTATGCATGGAAAAATGATAACAATAAAAAAAAATGACTTTTAGAAAGTAAAACTGTGGATGCTGGAAATCTGAAACAAAAACAGGAATTGCTGGAGAACGCCAGCAGGTCTGGCAGCATCTGTGGACAGAAAGCACAGTCAGACTTTCAGAACGAGTGAACCTTCTTCAGAACTGATTGCAGCTAGGAAAAAGTGGTATTTATGCTGACGACCAGGGTGCGAAAGGGAGTGAACAACAGGTGGAGATAGAGCTGAGAGAGAGATAAGAGCAGTTGGGCAGACAAAGGAATGGATAATGCTAAGTCAATGAAAAAGGGCAGCATGGTGGCTCAGTGGTTAGCATTGCTGCCTCACAGCACCAGAGACCGGGGTTCAATTCCACCCTCAGGCGACTGTCTGTGTGGAGTTTGCACATTCTCCTGTGTCTGCGTGGGTTTCCTCCGGGTACTCCGGTTTCCTCCCACAGTCCAAAGATGTGCAGGCTAGGTGGATTGGCCATGCTAAATTGCCCGTAGTGTTCAGGGATGTGTAGATTAGGTGGGTTATAGGGGGATGGGTCTGGGTGGGATGCTCGGAGGGTCTGTGTGAACTTGTTAGGCCGAAGGGCCTGTTTCCACACTGTAGGGATTCTATGATCTATGAACTGTCTGTGTGGAGTTTGCACATTCTCCCTGTGTCTGGGTGCTCTGGTTTCCCCCCACAGACACAAAGATGTGCAGGTTAGGTGAGTGGCCATGCTAAATTGCCCATAGTGTCCAGGGATGTGCAGGCTAGGTGGATTAACCATGTGAAATGTAGGATTACAGGGATAGGGAAGGAGGGTGGGATGCTCTTCAGAGGGGCGGTGTGGACTTGACGGGCCAAATGACTTGCTTCCATAGTGTAGGAATTCTATGAGAAAGCAAAACTGCTAATGGGGACCATCAGTGGGTTGGGTTGGCTGAGATGAAAGCAACCCTTGTGATGAAAAGGCCTGGGATGTGGGGGTGAGTAAAGGAGGTGCTGAGGCCCTAAAATTACTGAACTTGATTTCGACTCCTGAACACTGCAGGTCCCCAAGCAGAAGACGAGAAGCTATTTTTCCAGCTTGTGCCGAGTCTCAATAGACCATTGCAGTAGGCCCAAATCAGAATTCTTGGCTAGAGAACAGAATGGTCTGTTGAAGTGGCAGGCAGAGGCTTGGAATGATAATTGCAGCCAGAACATAGGTGCTCCGCAAAGAGGTCACCCAGTCTGTGTTTTGCCTTCCCAGCATATAGGAGATCATATTAGTGATCAGTGAATATGGTAATGAAGTGCATTGAGCGAAGTGCAGGTAAATAAATACTTCACCTAGAAATTGCATCTAGGGCCTTGAATAATGAGGAGGGAGGAAGTTTACAATTATATGGGAAAGTGCCACGGGAGGATGTTCAGAGTAGACCAGGGTGTCCTGGAGGGAACGATCCATGTGGAAGGCCGACAAGGCAGGGGAATGAGAGTTTGAATCCTGTTGAAGATGGCGAAAATGGTGGCTTATGATCTTTTGGATATGGAGCTGGTTGTGTGTAAAGTGAGGACTGGGGGACCCTACTGGTATCGTGAGAGGGAAGAGAAGGAGTGAGGACAGAAATGGATTGGATTTGATTGAGACCACTGTCAATCACTGTGGTAGGGAATCCTCAGTGGAAGAAAAAGGTGGCATCATCAGAACAGATGCAACAGAGATGAGAAATTGGGAGAATGAACAGAATCTTTGCAGGAGGCAGGGTGTGAGGATGTATAGTCGAGGTAACTGTGGGAGTCAGTTGGTTTGTTATGGATATTGGTGGCCGCCTATCCTCAGAAATGACAACAGATTTCAAGGAAGAAAAGGGAGGAGTCACAGGTGGACCAGGTGAAAGTGAGAGCAAGGTGGAAACTGGAAGCGAGGTTGATACATTTTTCCAATTACAGAAGGAATAGGGTAGCAGCACCGATCATGTCATCGCTGCATAGGCATAACACAGGCCCTTGGTGGGTACCCATGGTCACACCTACGGTCTGAAGAAAGTGAGAGGAGTTCTGAAGAGAGTTCACTGGACCCAAACTGTTCATTCAATTTTCACTTCACAGGTGTTGCCAAACATACTGACATTCTCCTGCAATTTCTGTTTTTGGAAACTACTTTTAGCTTAGGTTAGGTCTGATCACTGCAATGCTACCCTGATGTTGTGACTTGAGGTTTGCTCCCAGAATGACTCCACTGAGCATATGTTTCCAATACCAAACAGCCCAACACAAAGAGGAGATGCTTAGTTTTTTGGGTTCAACTGCTTTCATAGCATTTCCTAAGAGGGTATCATGGTCCTCATGGTATTACATTACTCACCAAATTAAAACATTTAGCTGGGTGGAAGTTGCGGTTTGTGTAAACTTATATTTAAAACCTCAGAATGGGTGGGTAAAACTAATGGTCCAGCAATAGTGCTGATCCATTGTGTGCTTCTGGTTGGCAAATGGAATTAAAATGTCTCCTTTCTCTGGGAGCAGAGGGGTTGGAAATTAAAAGCAGTTCTTGAAAAAAGTTTGGAAAAGAACCAAAAAGACTGCAGATAAACCGCCATTATAATGTGTTCCCTAGAGCACATTGCCCTGTAGCATTGGCAATGACCTAAAATTTGCTGTCTCCAAGGGTGGCGATATTGGACATGGTCAATGATTTCAAGAACCAATGAGGTAGGAAATAAACTTGCAGGACTATGTAGATAAGGTGGGGAAATGTGGCTGACTGTAGCATTCCCCTGTAAGCCAGTAGGGACTTGACTGGCCAAAAGACATCCTTTTGTGCTGTGCAGTGCCAAGAGACGGCCTGTATTACTAATGAAATATTGTGCAATTTGAAGCTATTTGCAAGATACCACCAAACAAGGGGAAATGTATTAACATGTCACAATCATTTAATTCTATTTTAGAGATAAACTGCATTGCATTAGTTTTAATATGCACAAATTTGCAACTTCACCTGCTGCTGTGGATAAATTCCTGTCTGATGGCCTCCATATGCTGTCTGTCCTGAGGGAGGACCTTGGCCTGGGTATTGCTGCCCATAAGGATCATGCCTGCAATGGAAATATTTTAATATAATATCTTAAAAATGTACTGTCCCTAAGTGATAAATTAATTTGATTGTAAACTAATGACTATCTTCCATAAATTTAACTAAAAAAAAATTGCTGCCCGTAATTTCAGTTAAGATAGTCGATCCAGCTTAAATGAAGGCAAACGTGGAAATTTCAAAAGAATTACTCTCACTTTTGCTTGGCAAATTGAAAAAAACTATTTATACTTACCAAAGTTAGTAGATAATATAATTACACGGATAAGGAAAATTCATATCAGCAGCCAGGCAACTTGATACAGCATAAACATTCTCAATTAATACCAAATATTTTAGGATGACAGATAAAGTACAAAATTCTTATTTTACAATCTTCTGCACCTGTGAATGCTGGGATATTATAAGCATCACAAAAATAAATACACCTAAAAAAGGCGGAGAGTTACGACGCATTCTCACCAAATCAAAACATATGACTGGGAGAAATTAGTGTTTTATAGAAACTTACATCTAAACCCCTCAGAATGGATGCTCTATCAATAGTGCTAGTCCATAATGTGTTTTTAGCTGGTAAACCCTAAAAACCCATCTTGTCCATGCCGACCAGGCTTCCTAAACTGAACTAGTTCCATTTGCCTGCATTTGGTCTATTTTCCTCTAAACCTTTCCTGTCTTTGTATCTTTCTAAATGTCTTTAAAATGCTGTAACTGTACTTGCCTCTATCACTTTTACTTGTAGCCCATTCCATACACACCCCACTCTCCGTGTGAAAAAGTTGCCTTTCACGGCCCTTTTAAATCTTTCCTCTCTCACCTTTAACCTATGCCCTCTAGTTCTGAATTCCCCTACCCCAGGAAAAAGACCTCGGCTATTCACCTTAGCTATGCCCCTCATGATTTTATAAACCTTTATAAGGTCATCCCTCAACCTCCTATGCTCCAGTGTTAAAGTCCCAGCCTATCCAGCCTGGAATGAAAATGCCCCTTTTCTCTCAGGGCTGGAAATTACACGCAGTTTTTTTGAAAAGAGCTTAGTAACACTGAGAAGATTGAAGATAAACTGCTATTGTAATTTGTTTCCTACATCATAATACATTGTAATATTGGTTGCATAATGGATCTGAAGTGTCTGCTTACTAAAGTTTAGGTCAGTAAAAAAAAAAATAGCAGGGCAAAAACCTAAACTTCAAAAGCAAAGCTACTCTCACAAATGTTATAAGAATTAATTGAATGAATATTAAAAGATCATATTTGTTTATAATTACCTTTGTTGCGCAGGGTAGCGGTTTGGTGAGTACATGCTTGAGTCACTGTTTGATGACATCATATTAGACTGGCCTCCTGGAGGCCCCATATTGCCTTCAGGACCCATTCCATGTTCAGGCCTAGAAGAAAAAAATATTTTGTTGTCTCGCTTCTAAAACAGTCACAGAGCACCATGTGAGAGATTATCAATCATAGGTACATGAGAAAAATACTAGGCTATAGAATAGACTTATTTTAAATATATTCAAGGAATGTGATGTCACTGGACAGCCCAGCATTTATTGCCTTGAACTGTTGCAGTCCTTGGGGCGTAGGGACAGCTACAGTGCCTTAAGGAAGGGGAGCTACAGAATGTTGTTCCTTCATTGTCATATAACTCCATGTCAGGATAGTATGTGGCTTAAAGGGGAACTTGCAGCTCCTGGTGCTGCCATGCATGTGCTTTCCTTGTCCTTCTAGGTGGTCATGATTGCGGTTTTAAGGAACCTTTGTGAGTTACTGCAGTGCATCTTGTAGACAGTGCACACTGCTGCTGTGGTGAAGGGAGTAAATGTTAAAAACAGTGAGTAGGGTACCAATCAAGTGGACTGCTTTGTTCTGGATGGTGCTTCTTAATGTTGTTGGAGCTGCATCCATAGGTGGAGAGTTACTTGCTGGATTCCTAGTCTCTGATTGCTCTTATTGCCTCAGTATCCATATGGCAGGTCCAGTTCAATTTCTGGTCAATGACAACCCCTAGGATGTTGACAGCAATACATCCAACTTTAGTAGTGTGATGGCAAGGTCAAGGTGATGATTAGATTCTATCTCGCTGGAGATTGCCATTGTCTGGTAAGTTACATTCATGCCACAGAAGTACAACTTTTTAGACAAAGTTTGGATGCTGTCCAGCTCTTGCTGCATATGGGTAATGGCTGCTTCAAAATTTGAGGAGCAGTGAATGATGCTGAACACTGAGCAAATCATCGGCAAACATCCTCATCTCTGACTCATGATTGAGGAAGAAGCTAAAGATAGTTGGGGCTAGGACACTATCCTGAGTAGACACTGCTGAGATTTTCTTGGGCTGAGATGACAATCTTCCAACAACTGCAACCAGCAGCAGAAGAACATGACTACAACCAGTGGAGACATTCTGGCCCCCACCTTTCGCCCAGGCTCCTTGATGTCATAATTTGTCAAATACTGCATTGATATCTAAGGCAATCACTCTCGCCTCAACTCCAGAATTCAGCTCTTTTGTCCATGTTTGGACCAAGGCTGTGATAAGGTCAGGAGTGTGGCCCTGGCAGAACCCAAACTGATGTCACTGAGCATGTTATTGCTCAGTAGATGCTGCTTGATAGCGATGCTGATGACACTTTCCATCACTTCACTGATGATCGAGAGTAGACTAATGGCTCAGTTGGGCTTTTCTTGCATTTTGTGGTTAAGATGTACCTGTGCAATTTTGCATATTTTTGTGTAGCTGCCAGTCTTGTTGCTGTATTGGGATAACATGGCTCGTGGCGCAGCTAGTTCTGGAGCACAATTCTTTAGTATTATAGCTGGAATGTTGTCAGGGCATGGTCTTTGTAGTATCTGGTGCCTTCAGCCTTTTCCTGATTCCCCAGGAAATGAATTGAACTGTCCGAAGACTGGCATCAGCGATGCTGGGTACTTCAGGAAGAGGCTGAAATGGATCATTCAGTTAACATATTTGACATTTGAATGAAAATACTTCATCCTAGTCTTTTACATGGATATGCTGGGTTCCCACATCATTAAGGATGGGAACATTTGTGAAGCCTTCATCTCCTATTAATTGCTTAATTATCCACCACCATTCTCAACTTGATATGGTAGGATTGCACGGCTTAGATCTGCCCAATTGGTTGAACGTAATCCTCAATGTTTACAATACTATATTCAAATCATACGTGCTGGTAACAATCAAAGACTGGCTGGCCTCCCATCACAAATCTTTCACCCTTCAATTTTGGATGTAGAAAAAACTCTCAGCATCCTTCACAGAATTCTTAACATTTCTGACTGCCTCCTTTCTTGTCACCTCTTGTTAATTCCTTACTAAGAAAGTTACAGACCTTTATGGTGATAAAATGCAAGCAGTTCTCATAATATTGTTTAAGATCTATTGAGGAATTAATCAGGTGTGGAAGGAAATTGGTTTGGCCAGAAGTAAATACTGAAACTTCGAACAAACATGTGTTCTAGATTGAACTACAGGGTGTGTAGACAGGGCTGGGTGTTGGAGAGAGAGTTGTCTCATGAAAGAAAGAAAACCTAAGCATGGCCTGGAAGTAACACACAAGTGAGACCTAGGAATGGATTTCTGGCAGGCTGCGTGGAATGTTCTTCATACGAGTCCGAGGATTTTGAATCCCAATATATTCCTATAACTTTATGTCATAATAAAGCGGCAGATCTTGCGAGCATTTTATTCCATGGAACAAATTTATCACATTCAAAGTATTACTGTAAACAAAAGATTTTCTCTTGGCTTGAGCCCTGGATAAGGAATTCTTGAGAGCAATACTTGGGAGCTACTTGAACATTCGATGTACCTTGTGCATGAGGGTCCACACGAAAAGAAAAGGCTGCAACTCAACATAACTGGATTTCTCATTCATATCAGGAAATTGTCTAATCTAGTATATAGAAAAATATAACCTGCTGTACTAGGTGGTGGTTGAAACTGGGTTTAAAGGAACACTGGTATTGGCTCTGTTATTTCGCCACGCGTGCTAAACAATAATATCAGCATGGTACATACAAATTTGAGTTTGACTACAACCAATGGATCGGATCAAAACTCCTTGGCCCTATATCATCCAGTCATGAATGGAGGAAGAAAAGTAAACGACATGAGAAGGCTCCAAACCATCATAATCTTTTAACAATTTTGCAGCCAAGCAAGTATGCAAATGAGTATCCATCAGAAGTGATGACTGGACAAAGCATGGAATGGCTAAATTCCAGAAATGGTGAGAGTAGTTGAACTCGACATTAACTTAGTTAGCACCAAAAGGCCTCATCAATAAGTTTGCCTTGCCAAAAGATCAGAAGTGGGTTTGTTTGCTGATTCATAATCTTCAGCTCCATTTACAATGCTTCAGAGAAAATGTTACTGTACAGCCAGACTGGACAATAGCCAAGCCTGCGTTGATAAGTGACTAGCATCTAGAAATCACATCAACAAGTAATGGGTAATGACCATCTCCAACTTTTTCTGATATTTAATGGCATTACCATCACCAGCAACATCCTAGGGTCAATTCCGACCACAAATTGAATGGGACCAGTCACATAAATTGTTTGGCTACTAAAACTGGTCAGAGGCTGAGTATTCAGTAGCTCACCTTCTGGTATCCCACACTTTGCCCATTATTTATAAAGCATTTGAAAAGCACGATAAGAATACTGTCCACTTGCCAGAATTTATTCAATTACAACAACACTTAAGCAGCCATTCAGCCCTGAAGACAGTGCAGACTATGTCATCAACTGACCCAAACACTCAGTTGCCCCATCATGGTATGGCTTAAGTGTAAGGTGCAGTATTTCCAACTTGTCAAGTATTCTTTGACAACATTTCTTAAAAGGGAAACAGATACATGGGAACAACATCACCTCAAAGTCCTGCTCTCACACACCATCCTGATTTGAACATGTTTTGCTGTTGCCTCATTGCTGGGTCCAGATCCTGAAAATCTCTACATAGCAGCATTATGGAAGAACAAAAGAGAAAAAAAATCATTCCTATTTTAGATTAAAAAGTTGATCATAAGAATTTACCTTCGCTCATAGCCAGATCCATAAGCATACTGCTGCCGCTGACCCACATTCAAGTTAACCATTCCTCCTGATGGTGTACGGTTGTACAGATCCTGCATCCCACTGTTAGGCATTACTCCAGGGGGCATAAAAGGATCATTACTTCCAGGCACTATTTTGAAATAGGTCAAGTTAGTTTGAAAGCAGTTCATTATGACAGATATAATAAATAAGTTGTGTGCTACTAATGCTGGAAAAAATGACCATAAACTATTTCCATAAATTTATCCCTATACATCCCTAAAAAATAGACATCTGGCACAAAGAATAGTTCCGGGACCAGCAGAATTATTATATTTTCCAATAATTTCAGCACCTAATTTAGCTATCATGTAGTTTTTAACCTCATGTTGTATATGACATACCTCACCAACTCACCCAGGAGGAAATAACAATTGATTTTACCTCCCTCAACATGTAGAGCATCTTACTCATTACTTACATTCATTGTAATTCTTTTTTAGAAGAAGAATGTATGTGGCAACAGGTACAGTTATTACTGCACTCAGAATCAAGGATAAACTGGAAAAGGTATTTTAAAAAGTTAGCTACCTTTCCTCATACCACCAAAAGGATCCTTATTGGGTTCATATGACATTCGACTCATCATTTCAGGCATATTCATTCCCTGTTGGTATGGTGCATTTGGGGTCATGGAGCCCCATTTCTGGAATGCTGGATCACTAACATCGGAGAAGGGATCCTGCACACTGATTGCATTATTCCTGTTTAGGTTAAAAAATAGGAGAAGCAGAAATTAATTGTGAACTAATACAGATCACAAAGTTCAGACAAACAAATTAAGGGAAAGAAAAATGAGTTATTTCCAACGTTATAAATCGCTTCGCGAGCTCTAAATCTCATGGTGGTTACATTGATTCGCATGGGTGCAGCACAAAATCATTAGAATGACAGACAGTCATGAGCACAGGCTACAGGGACTAGGCTTGTAATCTTTTAAGGGATGCTTCTAATTGACGATGAAAGAAATTGATTGGCTAGATAAAGAAAAACCATTTCCTCAAATGGTAAGGAAGTCCAGAATAAGGGACATTACATTACATTAAAATGAGGGTTAGATGGTTCAGAAACAATGTTTGAATGCACTTCTGGGCACAAAAGGTAAGGAAATCTAGAACCCTCTCTGTCAGAAAGCTTTGAGGTTAGGTCGATTGAAGACTTCAAAGCTTAGACTGGTAAGGTTTTTGTCAGGCAAGTTTATTAAGGATCATAGAATCAAGACAAATAAATTGAGTTAAAATAGATAAGATTAGGATTTGCCATGATCTAGGCAGCTGGCAGAACAGATATAAGGATCAAATGGCCTATTCATTTTGTCTTTTATCCCAAGTTCTGACAGTCAATCAAAAACCAGTATAATGTCTCAGCTCATTGTATTTCTGATTTCTGAAGGAAGGGTCCCAAATCTGGCCCTCAGGGAAATTGAAGTTCAAATAAATTTTGTTCAATTAGGCTGCCCTTGCCAAGCTACATTTCAGAAACCAGTACTAATACCAAATGGAGAAACACAGCAGGCCAGGCAGCATTACAGGAGCAGGAAAGTTGACATTTCAGGTAGGGACACTTCTTCAGAATTTGGGGGTGTGGGAGGAGAAGGGAGCTCACAAATAAATAGAGAGGAGAGGTGGGGCTGGGGAAGGTAGGTGAGATGGTGATAGGTGAGTGCAGGTAGGCAGTGGTGGGGATTGGTCAGTGAGGTGGGAGGAGCGGATAGGTGGGAGAGAAGATGGACAGGTTGTGTCAGGTCAAGGAAGTGGGAATGAGACAGAGGATTGGTCATGGGATGAGGCCGGGGGTGGGGAGATTTTGAAAGTGGTAAAACCCACATTTAGGCCACTGGGTTGTAGACTCCCAAGGCAGAATATGAGGTGCTGCTCCTCCAGTTTCTGGGTAGGATCATTGTGACACTGGAGAAGGCCCAGGATGGAGATGTCACCCATGGAGTGGGAGGAGGAGTTGAAATGGTTTGTGACCGGAAGGTGTAGTCGTTTGTCGCGAACAGAGTGCAAGTGCTCTACAAAGCAGTCTCCAAGCCTCCGCTTGGTCTCACCGATGTAGAGGAGGCCACATTGGGAGCAGAGGATGCAATAGACCACATTGGCGCATGTGCAGGTGAACTTCTGTCTGATATGGAGGTTTGTTTGGTGTCTTGAATAGAGGTGAGGGGGAGGTGTAGGGGCAGATGTGGCACTTCCTGTAGTTGCAGGGAAAGGTGCCAGGGGTGGTGGGGCTAGTGGGGAGTGTGGAGCGGACGAGGGAGTCGCGGAAGAGAACGCTCCCAATGAAAGGCAGATAGGGGTGGGGCAGAGAAATTTTTCTTTGGTTGTGGGGTCGGATAGTAGGTGGCGGAAGTGGTGGAGAAAGATATGTTGGATACGGAGGTTAGTGGGGTGATATGTAAGGACAAGGGGAATTCTGTCTTTGTTTTTAGCGGGGTGATATTCCTAAAATCCCTACAGTGTGAAAACAGGCCCTTCAGCCGTTCAAGTCCACACCTACCTTCAGAACATCGCACCCAGACCCGTCCCCCTAAATCTACACATCCCTGAACACTATGAACAATTTAACTTGGCCAATCCACCTAGCCTGCATATCTTTGGGAGGAAACCAGAGTACCCAGAGGAAACCCACGCAGACACACGGAGAATGTGCAAACTCCACGCCCGAGGATGGAATCGAACCTGGGTCCCTGGCGCTGTGAGGCAGCAGTGCTGAGCCACCGTGCCGCCCCAATGATAATAGCTACTTGGCAGCCAGGTATGTAAGGACAAGGGGGATTCTGTCTTTGTTTTGTCCTTGTCCTCACATATCACACCACTAAAAAATGGTCACGAGCCATTTCAACTGCCTCTCCCACTCTCCGAGTCACATGTCCATCCCAGGCCTCCTCCAGTGTCACAACGATCACCCAGAAACTGGACAGCCGCACCTCATATTTCACCTTGGAAGCCTACAGCCCAATGGCCTAAATGTGGATTTTACCAGTTTCAAAATCGCATCCCATGACCAACCCTCCCTCTCATCCCCACCTCCATGACCTGACACAACCTGTCCATCTTCTCTCCCACCTATCCGGTTTCCCACCTCACTGATCAATCCCCATCACTGTCTACCTGCACTCACCTATCACTGTTCCACCTACCTTCCTCAGCCCCACCCCTCCTCTCTCTATTCATTTCTGAGTTCTGTTCCCCCTCCCCATTTCTGAAGAAGAGTCCCGAACCAAAACTTCAACTTTCCTGCCCCTCTGATGCTGCCTGGCCTGCTGCGTTCTTCCAGCTCCAAACTGTGTTATCTCTGACTCCAGCATCAGCAGTTCTTACTATCTCTTAATACCAATTCGCACTTCTTCCAATGGGCAGGAAAAAGGCATGACAACATGAAAAAAATTGCAGGACTCTACTCAATCTCACAGAGCTATGTCTTGTGTTGGGCAATTACTCTATAGCTCAGACTGTGGAAAGGTTCAAGGCACTGACTGTTCACCCTTTCAAATGTTAATTGACTGAATGGACACAGGTTGTATTCATAAAAGACACTAGAGAGAATAACATGAAACACTGAATCTATGCCAGTGATCCAGTAGTGGCAGGAATTAGCTGGAAGTGGCTTAATTTGTCATTAGGCCTAATGTCACAAGTTTATAAACTCAGTCAGCAATGCCCCAACGAAACACGAAAATTGTTTTGATACAGCTTAACATCCAGATAGAAACAGGCTACTGAGAACTCATTTCAGTTGTCTTCAGAGAAGGGATTCAGTGATCTCAACCAATACAGGGGTCACAATTAAAGTCCAACATTGCTGCTGAAATTAGCACTCAGATGACGTTTGTCATGAACCATAATGGTTGAATTTTAAAAGGGAAGAATCTACAGATATTGACTGAACATGATATGGTCAAGTATGTTCTGGGCCACTGGTCATCAATATTTTACAGTAGAGGAGCTTTTTAAACAATAAAGTGTTAGTACAACTTTGATTGTGTGTACCCTATAATTGTTATACGACTCTGCAGAGGTGGCACAATATTTCCAAAATGTGAAATAAAATTTAGGCATGAAAATGTGATGCTCATCCATGTTTATTTTTAAGTTAAGAGTGAGAAAGATTCTTCAAAGTCAGTTCACATGAAAATTACTTTTGCTTGTTCTAATATTTTGGTTTATTGACACATAAAGACTTCAACTTGACATGTTTTATTCAGTTATTCACGCAATTCACTTTTTCAACATTAATTACAATCTGACGGGTTTACAGCATCAGTTTATAACATAGAAGTGAACATAAGAAAGTATAATCAAAAAACTACAGGATGTGCGATTGAGGGAGGTGGTGGTTTTGTCATGATTTTACTGGACTAGCAACCCAGAATCCTAGGCCAAAGTTTTGTGAACATGAGTTCAAATTCTACCATGGCAAATCTTGAAATTTCAATTCATTTAAAAAAATGTGGAAGCAAGATCTGGCCTAGACCCCACCCCCGACCACCAAACCATCATCTCCCAAACCATCCACAACCTCATCACTTCAGGTGACCTCTCACCCACAGCCTCCAACCTCATCGTTCCCCAACCCCGCACCGCCCACTTCTATCTCCTTCCCAAAATCCACAAACCTGACTGCCCTGGTCGACCCATTGTCTCTGCCTGCTCCTGCCCCACCGAACTTATCTCCACCTATCTGGACTCCATTTTCTTCCCCTTGGTCCAGGAACTCCCTACCTACGTCCGTGACACCACCCATGCCCTCCACCTCCTCCAGAACTTCCAATACCCCGGTCCCCAACACCTCATCTTTACCATGGACGTCCAGTCCCTATACACCTGCATTCCCCACACAGATGGCCTAAAAGCCCTCCACTTCTTCCTCTCCCGCAGGCCCGACCAGTCCCCCTCCACTGACGCCCTCATCCGCTTAGCCGAACTCGTCCTCACCTTCAACAACTTCTCTTTCAATTCCTCCCACTTCCTACAGACAAAGGGGGTGGCCATGGGTACCCGCATGGGCCCAAGTTATGCCTGCCTCTTTGTAGGTTACGTGAAACAATCACTCTTCCATACCTACACTGGCCCTAAACCCCACCTCTTCCTCCGTTACATTGATGACTGTATCGGCGCCGCCTCGTGCACCCACGAGGAGCTCGAACAGTTCATCCTCTTCACCAACACCTTCCACCCCAACCTTAAGTTCACCTGGACCATCTCTAATACCTCTGTCTCCTTCCTGGACCTCTCTGTCTCCATCTCTGGCAACCACCTAGAAACCGATATCCATTTCAAGCCCACCGACTCCCACAGCTACCTATACACCTCCTCCCACCCACCTTCCTGCAAAAATGCCATCCCCTATTCCCAATTCCTTCGCCTCCGCCGCATCTGCTCCCAGGATGAGGCATTCCACTCCCGTACATCTCAGATGTCCTCGTTTTTCAAGGACCGTAACTTCACCCCTCAGTGGTCGAGAACGCCCTTGACCGTGTCTCCCACATCTCCCGCAACTCATCCCTCACACCCCCTCCCCGCAATAACAACCCAAACAGAATCCCCCTCGTCCTCACGTACCACCCCACCAACCTCCGGATCCAACGCATTATCCTCCGACACTTCCGCCATCTGCAATCCGACCCCACCACCAAGGACATTTTTCCCTCCCCACCCTTATCTGCTTCCCGGAGGGACCACTCTCTCCGTGATTCCCTTGT